CAAGTCCAAGATGGAGAGGCAGCATCCAGTAAGGGCCTTCTTGCTGCATTCTAACATGGCAGAAGGCATCACCTGGCCAGATAGAGCAAGAGTGCCAGCTCCCTTTCTCCTTAAAAAACCCACTAGTGCCCACTGTGGGGGGTACCCCCCTCACAACTTCATCTAATCCTAATTACCTCCCAAATGCTCCACCTCCAAATATCATCAATATATAAATTTTGATATTAAGTTTTCAATATGTGAACTTTGGGGACATATTCAAGTCATAGCAGGAAATAAACTTAAATTCTCTTTGCAAGATGGTCTTCTCTGAACTCATGTTGCTGGAGGGGTCTTGAATGAGGAACTGAAATGCTTCCAATAAATGTTGTTTGTGGTCCCCTGACCACTGTCTTAATGAAAATTTACCTCTTTCTCCCCCAAAACTCATACATGCTTACAGTCCTGGGTAGTCCAGTGTATAGTTTGCCCTGAAAGGGTCCTTGTAGCTACGGGTAAAGGAAGTCATGATTCCAGGAACTCCAAAATGAACTGTGCAGTGAAAGAATGGTTATCCACCACCTTCTTTTTCCCTAATAAAGTGGATGTTCTTTATAACTTCTAAGTGAATGCAACATAGGCACTTAAATATGAAGAGTGATTATAATGGAAAGATTCTGATCAAGCCTTTTTAGGAATTCTAAGAGAAATGTCTCTTCTTTGAATTGACTTTGCAGTCAGCTTGGAATAAACAGGGTTTGAAGTTTATCGTTAGTTTTTTAAGGTAATGTAGCAGTTAAGATCAACTCTTAGAATACATGAAATATCCTCATTTCCAAATTGATTTGGAGTATGGGGACAATAATTTTAAAACAACTACCTTAGTAGTTTCCTTTAGTGAAATCCACCAATAGGTTTAAAATATTCTATCAAAATTTAGAATACAAATAACTTGAATACAGCTATTCCACATGGTAAGTGATAAAGGTATAGTATTCATAATGGCTTTTGGGGTGGGGGTAACAGCAAAAGGTTATGTGTTCACAGAATACTGGTTAAATAAATTCCCTGCATAATAGAACATTCCACAGCCTTTAACAGAAGGCAGGGTGTTGACATGGAAAGATTCCCAAGGTATATAAATTTAAAATGAGGGTGAGGAAGTGTGAAGAATATACTATCATTTCTGCATGGAAAATATATATGCAACTATATTTGTAAATATACTTGAATATTTCTGAAAAGCTAGGCTGTAATAACGCTGTTATAATAGCTGCTTGCAGAGATAGGAATGACGGGGTTGTCAAGAAAGGGGGCTGATTTTTTTTTTTTTTTTGGTTTTAAGTACATATATTATATACTCAAAAAAAATTTTTTTTGTATAACAAACACCTTGCTTCCCCAATTTAAAAAAAATGTGTCTTTGGGGGCTGAGAGTACAGTTCAGTGATAGAGCACTTACCTAGCATGCATAAGACCCTGAGTTTGATTCCTAGCACTAGGAATTAAAAAAAAAAGTCTTTGTTTTCAATTGTGGTATGGTAACAATGAAAATATATTTTTGTCAAGTTGACTAATTTCTACAAAATTCAGAGCTGGATTTTTTCTCTTTTAAAGGAAGTCTTGGGTTCTGTTATCTTTTAACTGTGTAATATTGAGCCAGTCAACCACCAATGGGGCCTCAGATTCTTCATTTGAAAATGATAGGCTTAGAGGTGATTTCCAGCAATCTCTTTCTAAGATGCTGTGATTATATGACTCAATGAATATTTGAAAAAAAATACAATAAATCAACAAAGAGAATCCAGGTACATGTCAGATAGTGTGGAGATGTGGCTGAAGTAATAGTTTATAATTTTCACAATATATTTCATTTTTAACCACACTTCTTAATTTCCCCTTCATATATACCCCATCATCTTTGAAATATCCCAAGAACAACAAAAGAAGAAGATTCAACTGAAGAAATTTATTTACTTTTTTTTTCTAGGTACATAGATGACATAATTATAGACAAGTTCTGATACATAGGAAAACCCTTCTGTCCACCTTTCTTTTTGCTAAATGAATCGTCACAATAATTTTTACAATTTTTAAAACAATACACAGCTTTCTTGGGCTGAAGCAATTGCAAGAACATATTGGTACTGGTATATTACAGCTACTTACAATGTTTAAGAACAGCAATGGAGAAAAATAAGTTATTTAAATATTGATTTCATATACAGAAAGTGCAATGTTGTTAGTTGCTATATAACTTGCTTGACAGTTTTCTCTATTAATTTAAAATCAAGATAACTTGGACTCAAGACGATTACTTTTTTTGAATATAATGTAGTATGCACACGTAGCAGTGACCTGGGGGTTGATCTCTTTTGCTGCAGTTATAAAAGCAAACTTGGCTATGTCAGGAACTGATTTTTAATATGAGTCATTTCTAATTTCAACCACACCTGGGTTCAGGACAGAGCAAAGGGCCTCTGAGTAAGGGAAGCCCACGAAAAACGATTCGTTCTCAGTTATCTAGGAATGTAAATAGTATTTGGGAAACTGTATTTCCTTCCAGAAGCTGTGACGTAAAAATTATACACAATGTCACGTGTAGCTACCTGAGCTGAACTGCCTTTCCATGTTTCTTTTGTGCTTTCCAAGGAAGACAACGATTTTCACCGTGACTCAAAATTCTGTACCAAATACAACTGATTAAAACTGGATATTGCTAAAGCCTCCCACCTGTCCACTAACATCCACAGGCAGCCCCACACCACCTCAGTCAAATGTCACATACAAACATTCAGGCTTTTCTCAGACCAGATTAAAAGGTTAAAGAAAAAGCAGACCAAACAAACACTAAAGATATCAAAACAAAATTAAAGAAGAACTATAAAGTAAAAACAACCTCAGCCCCCCTTAGAGCAGACGTTCACACTAAAAATTCTTTGTGGTCCCTGAATTTAATTTTTCATGCAAAGGCAATGACGTCCAAAGAGTGATAAAAATATGGTTTGGCATTCTCAACACCTCTGGTGTTAGTTTCAATGAAAGTCCTGCACTGGGAGTGAACTAAAATTTGGAAATTCACATAAGAGTCGCCCCCCCCACACATCCTTTTTAAAATCTCTAACATGACTTTTGTGTGGTCTTTTTGCCCACATGAAATGATGAGAGCAAAATCTGTCAAAATGTGAAGCCGAGGTATTTCAAAAGTAAGAAGAAAAGCCCCACAGCATGGAAAATTGTTTGAATGCTGTAGCTATCTGAGGACCCTGCAGCAACCCCCCATATTCCAGATGGGCTAATCCACAGTCCGAGAGGACAAAAATGAGCTGTTCTTATGAGTTAATAGAAATTTGGCAGCTTTACCTTTTTTATTTTACATTTCCACAACTTCTTCACATGGCCTCTTATAGGAGATGCATGTTATTAAAGAAATATACATTATTTTAAAAAAATGCATACTGAAAGCATGAAAAAAATACATCACCTGAGAAGTCCTTTTCCTCAGAGACATGGATCCAGATAGATAAAGCCTATGTTAAAGGTGGCTTTGTAGTTAATGACATCATTTTTCCTATTCCCCTGAGGGAAATAATTTGTTTTCGTAAGTAGATGAAATATTACAGCACTTTTGATCCAAGTCTTGTGTTCAAAATGTTTCTTGTACACATGATCACATTTGAGTCTTCGAAGAGTGCTCATGATAAGAACGTGAAGAAAAAAAAAATCATTTTGTAAGCAACAGAAGCCTTAATGGTCATCTAAATTTGCTGTTTGCTAGAAAATCAGACAGCAGACTAAAAGAGGATATGATATGCTGAAATCAGTTGAAAAACAACTGAAAACATGCAATGCTTAACATCTAGCTAATGTGGTTTGTCTGGCTCTCCAATGAACCTTTGTTTGAATTAGAATAATTATCTAAATAAGAAGAACAGTGATATCTTAATTATAAAACTGAGAAGAAAAACTTTAAAAGCATCTCATAAACTACTTCCCTTTTTTAGAAACAACTTTCTGAAATATTCAACTTTATTGACTTTCTGCAAAGGTGATCCATGAATTGATGACTGGATTTTGGAATGGATGTTGTCAGGATTCCAAGTCAATACTGCAACAGAGTGACCAATGTGGCAGAATATGAAACTGATTAAAAGTAAAGGCAGTTACTGAAGTTAACGCACACACACACACACACACAACTTGTGAATTTCAGACGGCTTTTTACTGGATCTGTGTGATTAGTTTAAAAGCCAAAAGCCAACATGAAATGTCTGCCTGATAAACACCCCTACAAAGTAAGCCATGTTAAAATGAGACAATTAGAAAAGCCCATTTTTGCTGGAAATATCCCAGATATGTTAGATGGCAGTCTAAGCTGAAGATTTGGAACTAGGGTTACAGGGTTGTGGACACTAGTTAGATAATGTTTAGAAGCTCATATTAAGGCAAATAAAAGCTGATTGCTAGGAAGCAATTATTTAAAAGTCTTGTTTTTATTTAAAGGAGATAGGACTTTCTTTTTCCTGGTGCAGCCAGATGTTCTAACTTCTGAACAAATGAGCATGGTCAATAGTGTACGAAAACTCCAGAGTCTGTTCCTTTGGCCTAGCTAAGTCTGTCTGGCTTGGGCATCCACCGGACCAACAGAAGGGCAGCGGTGTAATCAGAAATGGGTCAGGCTGTCCTGCCCTTTCCACCCAGCCCTCTGCCAATTCACAAAGACAGACTGGAGGCACGGTGTTTGTAGCTAGTTAGCATCTTGGCTCTTCTGTGTTCTGAAAATAAGTGCTGGTCTTGCCTTTGGGGGTCAAAGAGAACTGCACCAGTTTCCTTCAGGGGGCTTTTCTGGAGAAGGTCCTTGGTCCTGTGCCTGGGTTTCACACTCTGTAGGCCACGCTCGGGGCCCTTCTTCTGGCTCTGGCTACCCTGCCAGAGATTGAGGAATTGCATCAGCTTCATAAGCACAGTGAAAGGCTGGCTCTTGTCCAGGGAGGTCCATCGTGAGCCTGGCTTGGGCCTGGCTACATGGCCTCGGGGCTTGGTGGCAGTTTGAAGAGTCTGGCTGCGGATACAAGCTTCCTTATGTGTCGCTCCTCTGTGATGCCGGCCTCCTGAAGGCAAGAGTGGGACAGAGAAGGCACTTGGCTCAGTGTGCTGAACCCCGCATCAGAGAGGGTGCTTGTGTACATGGGCAGGCCGATGGAAATGAGCCAGTCGGACACAGAGGCAACGCACCCAGGAGACAGGGGCTTTCTACAGATTTCCGTGAGGCCACCACTTGGGATCTGGATTAAAAAAAAAAAAAAGAGTGTTACAAAGACTCTACATGTGCCAAAGGAGGTCCACTTCTTTTATTTCTAAAAGGGATGGTACTGAAGTACATCATTGCTAGATTATTAGCAAATGATAGTGTTATATTAAAAGTAAGACCAGCACAAAGAATTATTCTTGAAGATGGAACAGATGTTGAAGAAAGTGTTCTAGAAGGTTCTAGAAGGTATCTGGAATTAAATCCCAGTTATGTGTTCAAGTCTCCAAACTGTAAGCATTTATAGATCTATTTTGCCTCTCTGTGCTATGTTCTTCCCTCAGGTGATTTGCAGGGAAAAACCTGTGTGAATGTAAAGGTTTTCATAAAGTAGATTTTCTACTATATTCTGAATTTGAATTATAAAACAGAAAATCAAGTATTTGATTAATATAGTTAAAAAGAACTTAGAAATACGATCATATCAAGTATTGGTTAGGACAGGGAAATGGACATTTAAATTTGACTACTAGGTTCATATGCAGATATATATCTTTCCTAAAATCCTGGAGATTTTGTACAATCTTGATTAAGCAAAGAATATAACCTCAGAAGTTACCCTGGAAGTCTACAAGACTTATAACAAGGATGTTCTGTACTATGTTATTTAAAATAAACAACTGAAAAAAAAAATTTTAATTTTCAACAATATGCAATTGGCTATGTTAAGAAATAATCATCTAATGGAACATTGTTGATATACTGATTTTAAAAATAATTTTGTAACAGTAAAATAGATTTATGATCTGATAACTGAATACAATAACGTTTCATATATTTACTATTATGCATGCACACAGAAATGTAAATTGTAATTTGAGCAGTGAAAAACTGGAGATACTTAGGGTGTACAATATGAAGCTTTGATGAAGAGACCTGTTGCCGAATGGTTAAATTAAGCTTTTTAACTTAGGTATCACCTCACATCGTTAGCACTTTTCTTGTGAGATCACTTGAAATCTGCTATTTTAGCAATTTTCCAGCATATGATATATTGTTATTAACTCTAGTCCTATGTGGTACAAAAGAGCTCTTTGACATTATTCTTCCTAACTAAAATTTTGAGTCTATTAGAGGGATTTAAAAAAAAAAAGTTTTCATAGAGCTGGGATTATTGATCATTTACTTTCTAAAACTGTATCTTGATAAATTTCTAGCCACTGGGGTACAGCTCAGTGTGGAGCACTCCTAGCAAGCATGAGGCCCTGAGGTTGACCCCCAGGACCCCACCTCCGAATTCCAGGCTGACTCTGTGTGACTTTCTCCCAGCTGTCTCCTTTCCAGGGCTACGCCAAGCCCTTGTCCACTAAGCACTCATCAATGCCCGACATCAGCACGGTTACTAAATGCATGGCAGAAAGTGGGGGAGGGACCCTGAAGCATGAGCTGCTCACCGCCATGCGATGCTGCTTCCGAAGTAACTTCACACGGATCTGGTCCAAGTTGGTGGCGATGTCCCTCTCTGGCTGATCTAGGTCCTCTGCATATCTTTGCACCAGGGCTTCTGGAATCCCACAGCGGCCATGCTGCCGGGGAGAACAAAAATGGGGCATGAAGGGTGGTACAGATTTTTTTTAATCCTTTTTCTAAGATAAATTAAACACAAGGTAGGATAAGAAAATCAGCTTCTGGGAAATAACTCCAAAAGTTTTAATATGAAGTAAATATATATTCTTTATCCCTGGGATGGATGCTTTTGAGAAAAGATGTTTACATCTTCCAGATAATGGTGAGTTCTAGAAAAACATTTTGAAAGATGAGGAAGAACATGAGCATCCTATAATTTTCAGGCTAATGCCTTCACATCATTCTATCTGACCATTTTGCAAAATCAGCTTCCTCCCATGTTGCTGAATATAGTCTCCTAGACTGTAGAAAACTGAATTTCTCTTCTAGATATTCTACTCTTTGCCCTTCATCTGTTACAAGTTGTACCACTGCATTCACCACATTCACTGTTGAATTCTCCCCATTTTCCCTTCAAAGGGGTTTACTCATGAAAGGTTATAGAAAAGTTATTGAAAGGCATCCATGGCCATGAGAATTTTGTAATAAGACTGTTCATAACAAAACATGCATTTCCAGGAGAAATATAGAGACACCCCTATTATTGATTTGTCTTCAACCTCAATTTGGTACTGGTGGATCTTTTTTCTTCTTCAAATGAGAAATGATTTTTTCATTATAGAACTAAATATTTTGGGTGTAATTTTTGAAATATTTTTTTCCTTCCACAATCTACAGATTATTATTCATTGTAATTGGTATATTATATCTGAACAGGGCTCTAAAGTTTCCAAAGTATGTTCCCATTTACTGTTATTTGCTCCCAGTGATCCATCTAAGAGGTAGTTAGCCCCAGCTGACCTGTATGGAAATGAAGTGGGGAGGTGTTCATGTCAAGTAGATACCAACACTTGGACTTGATCTTTTGTCCACAAAATGATCCTTATCACAAACCAGTTCTGGCACTGATCATTCTCCCTGCAAAGCAAAACTGCCCCAAACTAAAAACTAACAAGCAAGAGCAAAAGTAGATTGTACGGTTGCATTTGCATTTTATCTGGAGATGGTGCTCCCTGTCCACCAGGGGTCTCTAGTGGGGCAGGTCATCCAGCACCCTCAGAACACCAGGCTCCTGGTGCTGGCCTCCATCTCACCTGGCTGCCTGAAAGGAGAAAAATTGCAGCCAGTGCCCATTGGGCTGCGCCTGAAGTACCTTGTCGGAGTAGGGCTCCTCGGTGAGGTCGATGCCCTCGGCGTGCAGCTTGCTTTCGGTGAGCATCTCCAGATCCACACCCCGGGCGCAGGACACCTTTCTGGTCAGCGGGACGCCCAGCCTCACGCCATGCTCCTGCAGGCTGGCGCTCTCGGGCAGCTCTGAGAGCCAGGGCGGTGGCCTGGTGCAGGAGGGGCTGCCAGGCTCCAGGCCCGAGGGTGATCGGGCGGCCGGCACTGGGCAATCAGAGGGGCCAGTCTTCTTTACGGGCAGGCTCGGGGCATCAGGGCTGGGTAGGGTTCCGCCAGGGGCCCCGGGCACCAGGTGGAGGCCATTGGCAAGACGTTCTCTGCTCTTTTTGGCAGGAACAGGTGGAGGCTGTGGCGTTTTTGGCTGTGTCCTTGTTTCAGGGACCCTCTGCTCAGCATCTGCCCCTTCTTTGGTGCCCGGGGGATGGTATGTTCCTTCAAAATCATGTCCTTTTCTGTGACCCTCGAGAGACGTCCTTGTTAAACTGTGTTTGGCTCCAGGAAGCCGAGTCTCAGAGTTTCTGGGCAGACACTGAGGAGGTGATACGCCTCGGTCGGTGGTTGCCATGGGGTCATCGGGTTTCCTAGTGGTCATTTTCTGGGGTTCAGAAAATCTCTTGCTTTGGGTCAGTAGCAATGCATTGTCGGCAGTGGAATCTCGCCCAGGGGCCTGGACCTTGGCGGTCGAGGCGGTTGTCTTTTGTGGCACTTCGGGTACAATCTGAGGGGAGGGTTCTGTCACCTCAGTAGGCACATCTTTTTCAGCATCAGGCTCTCCTTGAAGGTCATCCAGGGAATGGGATCGAGGCCAGGTTCCCACTGTCTGGGGGTCCTCCAGGGTCTCACAGCTCCGACAGATGGACACTGGGAGGCTTCTCCGGTTCTTAGTCAAACTAGTTACTAAGGGTGGGTCACAGTGCTTGGAAGCATCGGGGGTGAGACCGCGGCCCAGCCTGCCCTCCTCTCCCTGCTTCGCTGCGTCCACCGACTTCATTAAAGGCAACGTCGGGTAGTTGCCCAGCTGACTTCTGTTGAAAGACTTCAGGCTGGCCTCAGTTGATGACTTGGCAGATAAGAGGCCAGTTTTCTGAGTCTTGCCTGTGAGACAATCACATGTTAAAGCCAGTCAGTCAGTCAGACCCATGCATTCAGATGTGCAGGCACAACTGATGTCTCCAGTTCCCACATCCCCTTGCGGGGTTACACTAAAGACACAAAGCCATCATTCAGGACTCTGAGTGAAGTAGGGTCCCAGTTTTATTTTTAGAAAGAACTAACAAAAGGACTCACATGGGGACCAAAATGCATTGGTTATATGGAAAAGAAACACTGTGTCAGGCAATGAAAGAAATTGGGGCTTCATGTCTACTCCTAGCTGACTCAGAAGAAGGCTGACATCCCTACTCACTCTAGAAACCACACCCCTGAGATGTCTGCTGGGTGAGGACATGTCCAAAAAGTCATGGATGAAATGGGGAGGTGGACTGGCTCCTGGGAAGTTTCTATAAACGGTCCCTCTGAAAGGGTGATCAACAAATTCTCACATAACACCCTCCTTGAAGCTGTGCCCTGCTAACAAATTTATCCAGAAACAACCAGTCCACTTTGATACAGTCCAGGAAATAAACTGAAGTGAGCACTTTACCAGAGACCATCTATAAATACTTGTATGGTTGTAGGTCCCAGTAAAGAAACAGCTCTGGTAGATCATGGCTTGTCAGACTGATAACTGAATCATCAACCATAAACAATCTACTTTACTGACTGACTGATGATTTGATATTAACTGCTGCCACTTGAAAAGCTTTATCAAAAGCATGCCATGGGCCAAGCACTGTGCTAAACATACAGACAGGCAATGCACACAGGCACGGATGAACCATCCTTTGTTATGTCTTTGGTTAGTAACATGTTTGTTGTCTGCTATGACAGTGGACTGATGCCCAAGGAGACCACCCTGATAATGGACTATGTGAACCCAGTGATCCTATTACTGTGGGCCTATAGATAAAAATGAAAAGTCCTAGCCAGGTGTGGTGACGCACACCTATAATTCCAGTGGCCTGGGAGGCTGGGACAGGAGGATCACAAATTCAGCGAGGTGCTAAACAACTCAGACCCTGTCTCTAAATAAAATACAAAATAGGGATGGGGATATGGCTCAGAGGTTGGGTGCCACTGAGTTCAATTCCTGGTAACTTCACCACCCCCCAAAAGAAAAATCCTAAAATCATATCAGGTTTGGAATATCTGAAGAAATGGCTGGCTCCGATCTCTGGAAAGCCCCTATGTTGTAAGCCAGGGTTTCTTCCTACTACATTGTTTTGAGTAATATTTTAAATGTTTTAATTTTAAGCCAGGCACAGTGACATATGCCTATAATCCCAGCGCTCCGTAGGCTGAGGCAGGAAGATGGCAAGTTCAAAGCCAGCATCAGCAAAAGTGAGGTGCTAAGCAACACAATAAGACCCTGTATGTAAATAAAATATAAAATAAGACTGGGCAAAAAAACAATTTTTAATTTATGATTTTGACATCTCCCCATGGAGCAATCTCACCCTCCCAACACATTTAGCGGCAATGAGTAATCAGGCCGTGGGCCGATTTGACTGGGAGGAGAGAGGAAGGGTTGGTTGGTGCCCACTCAAAAAAGGAAATGGCTACTTTGGGGTACATGAAAGACATTCTTTTTTGGAAAAAAAATCTCTATGTGTATGCTATATAGATGTGGAAAGGAAGAGAAATAAAAGGCCAGGGCTCTGACGTTACAAGTGGGTTGGCCTTCAGTAGCAGGAAGAAAACAGATCCCTTCCATAATTTCAAAGTTTCTACCACGCTCATTCTAATTTCAAACTGCTGATATGAAATGTGTCACATCAAGTATAATTGCACACATTAAGATGGATGGAGAAGAACAGTGGCCTCAATCAGACTTTTTATTAATGATCCCATGCTTGTTGATAAGACACAGATCGATACATGAAATATTTTGCACTTAGCAAAGCAGAGACACATGGTCAAATGGCATTTGTCCTCCCTCGCGTATAATTACATGAGACCTCAAACCCCATCCACCTGTATGTTCTACGCTGATAAATAACAACATGTTAGCCATTTATTTATAGTTTATTATTTTGTTGTCACATAGAGATCATTAGCTGAGGTTTAGTCCTGAATATATTAACCATGGTCCCATTTTTCATTAACAGAATAATCATCACGGCTAAATGGAAAATTCCCTCTTCAGAAAACATCACATTAAAGTTTAAAAATCAGTTAAAACAGAAACTTAAAACTCCACTTGCGTTAATTTTGGAAATATGTTTTTTCCTTTACCCTAACTTCTATATAAATCCCATTAGATTGAACTGATGTGATTCTGCAATCTGTATATGGGGTAAAAATGGGAGTTCATAACCCACTTGAATCAAAGTGTGAAATATGATATATCAAGAAACATGTAATGTTTTGAACAACCAACAATAAAAAATTAAAAAAAATAAATAAATCTCATTAGATTGGAAAGATCCTTGAATTCACCTTGAGTTCAAAGTTGGTTCATCAGTTTCTTTCATCTAGTTCTTCAGTGGATGAACCTGAATTCTTTGGGGCATGAACATTTTCGCTAGTGATACCTATGAAATCTTTACCCAGTCAGAAAAGTTGCAAGTAACTTACTGAAAATTTCTGGCTATGGAAAGATTGTTAACAACAATAACAACAAAACCTTCTGGGTCTACACAAGAATATGATGTTTTCTGCAACAGAGGATGGCTGGTGCTCCGTGGGGTGGGGTTGGGTTCCTTGATGAAGGCTGAGTATTAGGATACATAGAGATTCACTATCTTCCCAGATTGCAAAATTCCCTGAGTAGGAGCTTTAAAGGACAAATTTTGAGGTCCTCAAGGTAGTCTAAGACTTGGCATCAGGGTGAGGCAAACAAGGTACCCAGGATGCCATGCTAAGGAGTGAACATTCTGAGACAGGCAACTGTAGGCTGGTACTTGGGAGTGAGCAGCTCATCGGTTTGACCCCTGAGCACCTACTTGCCACACTTTAGTCCTGATTTTGGTGCCCACAATGGCTGTCACTATTGTTTACCATGATCCATACTAAGAACCACACTTTACATTCACTATCCAACACACATGCACACATAATACTAAAACACAAAGAGTACCAGTAACAACACTCACAGTACTTCTAATGTACTTCTGGAATGCATAACGTACCTTATGGAGTGCATTCTGGTATTTTCTACTCTATTTTGTCTTATAAAACTGCTACACATGACTCACTAAATTGACCTTAGAACCCAGTAATGAACTGCAACCTGTAGTTTACGAAACTTTGCTTTAGCAGGTCCCTCATGAATATCCTAACACATGGACTACTGGAAGGCATTCCAGGAGCAGCTAAAAAAACATCAAACCTGGGCATTTTTCACGATGGTCTTCCATAGGTCACGATGGCAGTGTGAATCCTTCTCTACTATTTCTAATCTTGCACCAATAGGAATTTGGGGGTCACAAAAAGAAACCACAGAACCATTCATGGTGACATTAGCTTACCTGACCCCATTCTAACTAAAGACTCTGCTTCTGTTTGAAACTTCATACTGACTGCACCCTGAGTGTTAGGGACACCACAAAAAAGACATGTAGCCTTCCTGTCATCCTCTTCCATGGTAACTGCTTCTGGACTGGACTCAGGCCGAGCAGCTGGGGTGTTTAAGATGTGGCTGCTGGTGTGACCCTGATGGATGGTCTACCTAGTAAACAGTTTTCCTTGTGGAAAAGTGTTCTTAATACTCACATGTTGGTTGTTGTTACGCAAGGGCTTAGGAGACACACGTTTTAGATTTTACAGCTGCAGGTATTTTAGGTGAAATTCATGAACCTCTTACAGCAGCCAGAGGAAGACACACAGAGGCCAACTGCAGACTAGCATGGGGAAGTGGCTGGAAATGGAAAGTCGATTTCTAGGTTCCTCAGGGTAAAAGAGTCCATCTTTTGGGACTGGGATCATAGCTCAGTGGTAGAGTGCTTGCCCAGCATGTGTGAGGCACTGGGTTGGATCCTCAGCACCACATAAAAATAAATAAACAAGATAAAGTTATTGTGTCCATCTACAACTAAAAATATTAAAAAAGAAAAAAGAATTGATCTTTTGGAGACCATTCTACTTTTGAAATCGGGAACTTTCAAAACAGGTTCCTAGAGGTCTAGGTGGACGTTACCATGTTCCAGATTCTCGCTGCTCTCGTAGCAGCCCGAGTCTCGCGGGGAGCATCCACTTAGGCCCTGGCTGTCCATAAGCAGCTTCTCCTGGGACCCCGACTGGTCACTGTTACCTGGAGAAGGTGAACACATGACAAAGAATCACAAGGGGTGCAAACAGCAGAAGCCCTGATGTCAGGTCCCAGCTTTATCCTGTCACTGCCACGTGATTTTAAGCCTTAGATTTAGAAGGGGGGAAATTATTTTAAGATACAAATGAATACATTTTTTCTCAAATAAAATATCAATTACATGAAGACAAATCAGAGCAGGACTTTCGCAGTGCCTTTCGGGTTACCCAATAGAGGTAGACCCAAGGCCCTAGGGGAGGGGAGCTGCAGGGTGTGGTACTGGCGTGGGGGGAGCACTCCTGGTCCCCTCCAAGTGATGGCACCATTGGGGAAGAGCCGAGTTAAGGTGGGATTTGGACATGACCTTTTTACAGACCTGTAAGGAGGTACTCCAGGTTACTTACATCTCTCTGAATTTGGGGCTTATATAAAATTGTCAAATGAAATATCACATTCTATTAGCATCCAGGAGCACTCAGTGCTGAGAGCCATAGCTAAGTAGGAATGACACATGGCAATTTCCTTGTCAGCCTACCCCATGTTGCTTAGAGGGAGGACTCTCCATTGTGGAAATGGGCTTGCCTTGGACCCAGGTCATTGCATGAATGTTTGAGTAAGGTGACCCTGCTCAAGGACCAGGGTGGATCCGGGTTTAGGGAGGATCCTGCTGGATTAGGGTGGGTCCAGGTTTAGGGTGTATCCTGCTGGGAATAGGGAGTATCCCGCTCCTTGGGTTTAGGGCGATTCCAGGTTTAAGGTGGACCCTGCTGGAATAGGGCGCATCCTGCTGCCTCAGGCGCCCGCCCACTCCTTGAGTTCCCGTTGAGTTCTTGCGGGATTCAGAGAGTAATTTGGGACGCAGAGCCCCGTGGAGGAAAAAAGGATTTTCCCCAGAACGTGCGTGTGGAGTGCCGGTGACAGTTCGGGAATAAAGAGTTGCTGTTTGAATCTACAAATCTGTGAGTGGCTCGTGATTTTGTGCCCAGCCAGACTGCGGCATCTTAGCCCTTGGTGACATGTGCTGGCTCTTGTATTACCTCAGCAAGATGAAGGTTGGCCAGAGCTGGCAGAGACCCCTCCACTGAGAAAGCTGTTTTGTTTTTGTTGCTTGGGATGAACTAGAGGGTTTCTTTTCTGTTTGGCCTTCTCCTTTGTGTTGGACCAGCCTTTTCACTTTCTGGTCACAAAACAGAGACGGGGAACACTCAGGAAACCCTCTGATGTGGAAAGTGAGCGGAAGATGCTCTTAAGGTAGACAAGTGCAAGTTAAGCTTGTTGTTCTGAGGAACCCTTCTAAAGAGAAGCATCATTATTTGTCAATTAGACCTCAGTAAGCCTGGGGCGAGAGGCAAGAGGGGTGGGAGGCAAGGAAGCATCAGGTGTCTCTGCTTAGGGACCTGCCGAGAGTAATTCCCATGGGAAATCACATGGGCGCCCAGCTCCCCAGTGGCATTACTGTGCGCCTTCTGGAGAGGGCCCATGGAGCCTTAGGTGGGACACTGAGGTTACAGCAGAGCATCATTGTGTCATGATGCGCAGTGTGTGCTCAGTCCCATAAAACAGAAACCAAGAAAACATTTTCTACATAAAATAGCTAGTTACAATGACAAATGGCTTTAATTTATTTTCCTTTCTCTTTACCTCCCGCCCTCCTACCCCAACCACATACACAAAGAGAAGAGAAATCAATAAGCCAGAAATATGATGCCTTTTCTCAGGTCATCAAAATAAAAATGCGGGGAGGCAGAGGGCTGCCATTCCACACATGTGCCAGCGGTTCCTACTGTCCCCTCGCCACTTCCTGCTTGCATATTCTCACAGGGAAAGCTTCTGGACACAAATTATGACACAGATCATGGCAGACTAAGCCCTTAGATTAGAACCCCAAGTTAAGAGTGCTAATAGTTAAATGATTAATTAAAAATTAACAAGTTAGAAGCTCATGAACAAATATTGACCCCCTCCCAACACCCAAAGTCAGGACATTCTGGAGTGATGTCCTCATCACGTGGAATAGCCTGTGGATTTGGAGTGGCCTTTGTTCCAGCCTAGCATGTTATTTAGAAAAATGATACTTGTAAAATGATGGTTTTGAGCTCTCTGCTGCAATGCAGGGAGAGGAATGGGTGTCATCTGTCTCTGGTGGCAACAGTTCAGTGTACCACAGTGGCCAAAGCAGACTCCAGAGTGCTGACCAGTGGAAATAAAACAGAAAACATGTTCCCCGCCATTGCATGGGGATGCATGCTGGCTCTGCATTCCGAGGACCCCTGCCTCAGCAGACATATGAGGCCACTTGGAATTGTTGCACAGAGGACAAGGATCCCTCCCTGCACCTGAAACCATAGTCCAGGTTATAAAAGCCTGAGGCATACTGCAAAGGGCTAGAGTCACTGTCTTAATTAAAAATTAAGACAGAAGAAGAACTGGATGGCTCTTCCATGCCTTGCAGAATCACACCCACACTAACCAGCATTCATGCTGAAGTCCAAAAAATGAGAAAGATGAACTGGAACGCTGCAAATTCTCACCGTCAAATAAGAGCAAGGGGCTAAAACCCTGTTTGGGTATGACCTGAACTTGGACCTGACGGGACTCTCCTTGGGCTAAAGTTCTCCCCACTTAAAAACAAATATGCACATACATGCATGCACATGTACATACACCTCTGGAAGAACATGCTAAGGCACTTATGAAATCTTCAAATGTCAAGGGTGGTGGGCCACAGGGCATGCATGGTTGTTTGGAGAGCTGATAACTAGAGAAGGGAGAAGAAGAGAAGTGGGATTCTTGGGTAGCAGTAGTTTCAATGGACTTGTAGCATTATTTCTTAAGAAAATAAGGATTGAAGCAATATAGCAAAATTTCAGGAATTTCAAAAATTCAGGAAGTGCATGTGTATATATCTGTTTAACTTTTCTCTATACTGCATACTTGAAATAATTCCTAATTAAAATTCTTATGAAAATTATTGTTTTATTGAGCTGTACACTTAAAATGGTTGATGATAACCTTTATGCAGCATGTGTACTTTACCATAATTTAAAACTTTTTTAAAATTTAAGGGAGCTTTACCAGACACAAGAGAGTGTAAGGCAATTAGAGTCTTTCCCAAATGGAACACCATTTGAAGGCTGCCCTTCTGTATGCACTGGAAGACTCTGGACAGCTTTGATTTTCAAGCAGTGCTGAAGTTCTACTGATTGCTCTCCATAGAAGGCTGAGCTAGAAAACTTTCAAGATCCCTACGCATCTTCAAAGATCTCAATACCTTTATCTCTCTAGAGCACAAGGATTTAGTTTGACAGAAATCTATTATCATGTTCCTCTAAGTTATCAGTTACTTAGAAGGAATACTTCTTAAACATTATGAATTCAACTGCGTTGGAAATAAAGTCCTGTAACCCCAGGATAAGCCTGAACCCAGCCTCTTGGCATTAATTGGTACCTCTGATCTCTCAGAGCCTTTGTTTCAGAACCAATAAGAGGAAATTCTATACTATACGGTATGAGGGAAATTCCCAAACAACAAAACAACCTTGGTACAAATCTCAAGACCTGATTTTAGCTGGGCACAGTGGCACGTACCTGTAATCCCAGCAACTCAGGAGGCTGAGGCAGGAGGATTGCAAGTTCAAGACCAGCCTTAGTAATTTATCAAGGTCCTAAGCAACTTAGCGAGACCCCCATCTCAAAAATAAAAAGTAAAAAGGGCTGGTGACTCAGTGCTTAAGTCCCCCTGGGTTCAGTTCCCAGTAACCACCCTTCCCGCCCCCCCCCCCCCCACAAAAAAATCCTAGAACAATGAGTCTGAGCCAATGTGACATGAAAGAAACCAAGCACGGATCCCTGCCTTACACTCAGGATTTAGGGATACAGGAAGTGTAATAAATAGTATCCATAAACCAGCTGTTCTTCATGGACAAGGAAGAACAAATGAGCTAAGTTATGGAGCAGATGGGATTTAGGAAAACAGATGGTTTAATATTAATTCCTATTAATATAGCTGGTTGACTATACCAGTCACTGTCCCAGACTCTGCGCACAATCTGGCCATCCACCCCAGGGTGTCTCTTGGGAGACTCAAATACCAGAGACCTGGTTATATATTAATATTAAATATAAAATGTAATTTTCTACAAATCTATCCCTGAAGGCTGCTTATTTATTGAGGGTTTGGATGTCTATGCTCCTCTGTGCTATCAGTTAACTTAGAGTGAGCATCTTTTAAACTGAAGTGAATTAAAATGCACTGACACACTTGCTTCCATGTCTCCTGGGTCTGATACCTCCTCAGCTGACCATGGGATTCCAGAACCCCACTGTGAGTTGAAAATACCATAAGCTGAGAATGTATTGAGAATACCCAACCTGGTGAACCTCCCAGTTTAGCAACGCGGGACACGGCAGTGTTGGTTGTTCACCCTCCTGATTGTGGGGCCTACTGGGTGTTGCAGGTCACTCCACTGCCCCACATCCTAAGAGTATCAGACTGCAGATCAGTAGTCTGAGAAAACATCAGGATTCCAACTTTGAAGTATGGTTTCTACTGAATGTATATTACTTTTACATCATCAGTTGGGGCCATCTGTAACATGCAATTTCTTTTTCCACCATTAACCATAGTTTTGCTGTGTCTTTTAGCAATAGAAATGCTATTAGCTACTAATATTCCTGAAGCAGAGCCCTTGAAAGAAAATGTATTTGAATTCAATAACTGTAAAGGTTGCTCCCTTGGTGATGAATAATTTCAGGAATATTTTTGATGTCAGACTGAAGAATAAAGAGCAAGATAAGATGAGGCTAATGGAGCAGGGGATCTGATGCATTCAGATAGACTCCATAAAAGCCACACGCTCACTGAATCCTGTTCACAGGCTGTAAAAACAAGCTGTCATTTATTTAAGTTGGGAATGCGCACACTACGTATTCACTTCAGACAGACATTGCCTCCTTCTTTAATGGAAACTGATGAATTTTACTTAGGCACTAACCAATCTATTCAATAAGAAAGCCATTTGTCACATGCTTTGAGAAATAATCGACCCTTAGCTGAGCAAGAAACTTCCAGTTGGCCAGTCATTTTTGTACCCAGGGATCCTAATGACCTACTGAAGTCTGCATAGCACAACAGTACTGAAGGTGGAGACTACTGGTTTCTTAGAACTGCAAGTCCATTTTCCTAGACACTAGATATAGCACTGTCCTCAAATGTTCCCCAGAAATATGCCAGGGAAGGTATCATTGGTATATTAAGGTTTATTTATTTATTTATCCATTTGGGTATCAGGGAATGAACTCTGGTACTCGATCAGCGAGCCACAAGGTTTTAGAGACAGGGTCTCACTGAGTGAGTCACTTAATGTCTTGCTATTGCTGAGGCTGACTTTGAACTCATGATCCTCCCATCTCAGCCTCCCAAGTCGCTGGGATTGCAGGCATGTGCCACCGTGCCTGGCTTATATTAAGTTTTATTACGGGAATATCTGCCCTAGGGAATTTATGTCTTGGAGCTGCTTTGCACAATATGAAATCAACCTTGGCTCTGGAAAGATCAAGACCCATGAGTGACTTCAGGGATACCGAGAGCTTATGGAAGGTCTGCAGGGGACCAAAGATTGTGGCCGAACTACCAATGGCCACTTCAGTGTCTGGAGAGACTTACTGTCATATTCCTGCAACAGTTCCACGGCTGTCAAGAGGACAGCTCTGTGTTCTGGGTCCCTGATATTTAATTCATCCAAGTCTTCTTCCTCTAGGAGCTTGAAGGTGTCCAAATCTTCATAGCCATTGAACAGGAAAGTGGGCATGTGCTCCTGTGCGACAGAAGGACCAAGGTGAGTCACAGCTCAGCCGCATGATGCAGGACGACAACTAGCCTCAGACCCCTCAGCTCTTTTCCCATAGTCATTTTTTTTATGCTAATCAAAAGAGTGATGTCATCTGTAATGTACTGTGCCCGCCAGTCCTCTGGCTTAGTAGGCAGGCGGGGTGTTTTCTTAATCATGGGCTAAGATGTACACAGCAGAGGAGGATGAATTCCACTTATTGGCATTATAATTGTGCCCTTGAAATAAACTAATTCCTTTATCACCAACCCACAGTGGAAAAGCCTCCTCCTTCATTTACAGAGATATGAGATCTAATTTAGTGAGCCCCAGGAATTTCTCAGGAGTAAGAAGGTTTGCAAGGAAGAAAAAGTCTCCACTGCAGAGCCCTCCTCCTAGATGCTGGGAGAATCATGGGAGGGGAGTTGCCTCCCGGCCCCAGGGAGCTGACTGTGAGCAGGGCACCTAGGTTTGGCTTACAGCATTTCCAGTAGCAAAAGTTTGATCTAGGGCTTATGCTATCACCCAAGCAGAGGTCAAGGGCAACATTTGAATACTGGTAGTGCCTTCTGTGAATGGGTACTTATCATATTAATGGGTGACCCTTGTGGGACGACATAGACCACCTGAAAGTACTCTTTCCTTTATTTGGGAGAAGGAAAAGGCAAGGTGGAGACATGCTACCAGAGTAAGAACTGACTGACCTTCAGGTTAATCCGATCCAGCAGATCCTCCACAGACTTGGGCTGGGGTGGTCTTCCTTTCCTCCTCCTCCTGGTGGGGCGCTTGGGCTTTTCCTCTTCCTCATTGAGAACATCCACGTAGATGAATTTGAATGTGCCAACTTTGTTGTTCAACAGGCCCATCCAGGTACCCATGGGTGGCTTGCTGATTATATCAATGATATCCCCTTTCTGTGGCCCAGGGAACAAAGATCTTTCCATTAGGAACATTTCTAAGCATGGATAGTGAATCAGTCAGACCTGCCAGTCTTGCAGTTGGGAAAAGGCTATGAAAGCATAACCAGGTCCCACGGGTCACCTTTCTAAGCACTAAACACAGAATGACTGGAAGTTTCCAAGAGGCCAGTTGGAGCACTTGGATGACACATGGGCCCCACATCACAGCCCTGCCTCCCTACTGCACTGTAGGCCAGCAGGGTCTGGGCTGTCTCCTGGTGCCCTCAGCCAGGCAGCCCTTGGCCCTCAGCTCTCTGAACACCCTCCCATTACCCGCAGGGCTCCTGCTTCTTGGAGAAAGAATTTCCTACCAGTCCTAAGCCAGTGGCAATCCTTGCCCTGTAATCACTTCATACAGTTTATGGAACTCCATCTTTACATCCCACATAAATATCTCTGTTTCCACAAGGCAAGCAGTAATCCATCTTCAGATGGAAAAGCATAGAAAACCAGGGCATGGGGGAGCCATTAGAATTCTAGAGGGCAGCTGGGGACAGGTGACAGAGGACAGGGGCCGGGTAGGAGGTGGGGATAACAAAGTGACTGACACAAGACCCTCTCTGCCTCGACCGCAGGCTGGTTCTCGTTTCATTTTTACTACACAGGTACCCAGGACACCAAGGTGGCCAAGACATCGTCTGGTCTGCACAGCAACATCCCAGAGGTCAGACGTATGGAGAAAAGAAAGCTTCTCAACGAGACAGAAGGGCCTGGGCCAGCTGCCCTGTGCCCAGGGAGAGGCCCACCTTGAGCTTGAGTGAATCTGTGTCATAGGGACTGGGGGTGAAGTCAGTATGCACCCGGGCGCGCCCACAGAAGGGGCCCCGGTAGGGTGGCTCCTCATCATCCCCATCTTCCGACTTGACACTCTCCCTGTTGCTGGTGGAGGAATCGGTGGTGCTGACTGTTTGGCCACCTGGGCAGGAAGAACAGGAAGAGGGAGGGTGAATCCAGATCCCCACGAAGTGAAGCTGAAAGGTCCTCAAGACTTTGCAGATGCCCAGGAAGAGTGGTCATGTGCTACAGCCTTGGCAGGACCAGAGCAGGAAAGTCCTGAGCTCTCTGGCTGTTCATATCAAGACCCTAGCTGGACAGCAGGCTCAGGACACATCATCCTCATGGCGGGAATCCAAGTGACCTGGAGACTCCCTGCTGGAGGACACTGTAGTGCTAGAAGCAGGCTTTGCCTTTAACATTGTGACCTCTCATGTGCACAGCACATTAAATTTTCATCATATTTACAGATGAGAAAACAGAGTGGTCAAGTCACTTACCCCAGGGTAAGAAAGTGGTGGATTTAAAGCTCCTCTCTCCCCCTTTACCATCTGGCTAACACCAACCACCCCTGGCCCTGCAGCAGCTGAACAATATTTATCAGTGATGTTTCTAATTCTCCTCCCTTCCCCAGCCCTCATTATTTTGTTGCTCATCTTCATGTGCTTTTCTTCCGGCTTACTCCTCTCCATTCTCTAGATCCTTCCCCTGAGATGCATTGCCGATGTTCCCCAAACAATATTAATCACTCACTCTTCTGCGTCCCTGCTGTACACCTGATATCAAACAAATGACTCCAAATCCAGGTATTTTGCAGGTCTGGCTCTCTAACAGCACCCTAAGGGCAGGGACTTGGTCTTACTTATCATTAACTTGCCTGAACTTGAGGTTCAATCAATGTCTGATGTTTTACTGCCAAGAAAATCACCCACAATTACAAACTGGACTTACTCATCGAGCTCTGCCCACTTAGAGAACTCCGAAGACTTTCTACAGATCCTCCGGCTTTGAGCTTGGGTTTGTCCATGTGCTCAGAGTCTGGCTGTACAGAAGCAGGGGAGCTGGGTGGGCCATCGAGGCCTGAGTCCTGAAATGGTTTCAATAAATACAAGTTTCATTATTGGACAGGTTTTGTTTTGTAATTCTCAGCAATTTGTCAACTCTATCAATCAAATCCATTTTTACATTCATACTAGATTCTATGGTTAATATTCTCTTCCTTTTTAACTTATGTTCTTGCATAATTTTAAAGTTGTAAACCTGGTACTATTTAGTAAGCATTCAAAAATTATTTTTCAAGTAAATATTCAGGTATAAATCTATCTTTCACATAGACAAAATATTTAGATAAAGGCTTAGGGACTCAGCATACTCAATAGTCCAGTAACAGACTGGACTTCAAATGTAGGTCGAATATAATCCTCTATTATTGCAGAGTATTATCAGAGGACATTTAATCTATTCTGAAGGGAAAGAGATAGATGGAAATGAAGAAAAAAAAAAGAAAGAAAAAAGCATTCTCCTTGAAAAACAACTAGGCAGATTCTCATGTTCCCATTTATACAAATTATTCAAATTGGCTAAGTAGTTAGCAACTTAATACCCAGATATGTATCAAAATATATGGTTTCGGTATTTAACAAGGTTACTACATTCCAAAAATCACTGGCACTCCCACAGTGAGATCCATGGACACAAACTGAAGATGTACAGGCTCTGAATTCAAATGGGAGCAGTGGGGGTGGGGATGGGGGCCGACCAATGGGTGCTGAGTAACTCAACAGGAAGATGCTTAATGTTAAGCTCACTATGTCCACCAGGGGGCAGCAGCTGAGCAAAAATCTCTGTACTTCCAGCTGTTCTTTATTGGGTACACAAAGTGTCATTCCCCACCTATTTCGAGCAATCAGTTCATATACAGATACTTTAACAAGCTGCAGAATGAGTACCACAAAGATTCCATAGTGGCGGGTGGGGTGGTGCTTGGAAATCCAAAGGTCAAAATTACCTCAAGGCCCAGGCCCAGCTCTCCAAGTGTTTTTATTCTTTGAACCATGCAATTAAGACAGACACTGATCACGTTTCTGACAGTGAAAATTTTTATAGAGCTAGGAAGAAAATCAATTCTGTGATCTCTTCACGGCTATAGATAGGCCCAGTTAGTAAATGCACCACCCCCCTTCTTCCCATGGAAGCCTCACATCTATCAAAGTCCCATAGCCAGGAAGCATTTTCTGAGTTTCCTTTTCCGATTTGCTATGTGTTTCTAGAATAATCTGTGGTATGTCTGGAAAGTCTGCTGTCCAGGTATACTTTTTGAGGTTGGACTCTGGTGAGAGCAATTTGTGTTCAAGTTTGCAATGCTTATTACACAAAAGAACCATCTCTTCTTTACGTGGCTGTCTTTCCTCCTCTCTGGAGGCAGAAGGCAGGGCCTGTGTTTTATATTTCCAGCACACTGCACAGTGCATGGACAACCCTAAGTGCTGAATAAATGTTTTATGAATTGAGTGTCTACGTAAACAAAGCATGGTCCTATGGCAGGTTAGTGTCAAGGAATGCACACTTAGCACCATTTAAAAATCTCAAGTGGCTCAAACTCAGCTTTCCCTGTTTTCAGGAAGACCCAAGGGGCTTTCTGCTGGGTGGCCACATACCTGCTCAGAGACAGAGCTGCTGTATTTTTTAGACATTCTCTTCCTCATTGTTTCTTTCACTGATTTCACTTTTTTCCCAAGAGAGATGCGGGAGGCAGTGGGCGATTTGATGACTTCCTTGTACACAAAGTCTCCTTCTTTACCCTGTGAGACGAAACATAAATACTTTCAGTCTTGGAAAATGGAGCCCAGAAACAGGTTTTACTATCCAAACCATTAATATTCTAGCTTTCAGGAAAACACTGGCATTCCCTAGAATCTTGAAATTTTTCTTATGTTAACTCAATGCTGTTATTTATCTTTTCAATTAGAAATTAAAACCTACTAGGAGGCTTTTGTTTAAAATGGGATGTGAGTCACTTTTTATTTTATTAAATCTTAGTACATTCTTCTTTGATTACGATTTTTTTTTCTATCATTTTAAACACACAGGGGAGCTCCGTTTCAATAGTACAGAGGGATTTACATGAACCAATGCCCATGTAATCACAGCAATGGGGGAGAAGGGAGGGCTGATACTATAGGATCATGCTAGGAAAGTGCTAAGGACACAGTGGTGGAAGCTCAGACATGAGAAATGCAACATCTGATTGGAGTTTTGTCACAGATGCTCCGTGTGGTCAATGCCTAGGAGTGCATAGATTTCCTTCCCTGAACAAATGGGATTGTGACCATCTCTCATTCTCTTTTTTTGCACTAGAAAATAAACTTACTCCAAGAAAGAAAAGAAAAATACTTTCTCTCATTTTTAAGAAAGATTGACTACATAAAAATTATTGGCTTATGAATCAATACAATTGGATATCCAAATAAAATAGTTTTATCTTCCAGGAAATTCTCATTCTGTATCTCACAGATGGGAATTTTAGCTGATAATTGAGCACAATGAATATAAAGCTGAAATTTTCATTTCATAGTTTCATAGCAATATACCTTAGGGACAAGCAAACTGCAGGTCAAACTTTAGGGGACAGAATTTTAATGCCACAGTGATGGGGTGGCCCTAGACCATGACCCACGGCATGTTCATGGAGCCAGTGACCTTGGTGCTGAGGTGTTGGGCTTGCTTGGGTGCTAAGAAGACTGGGTTTGTTCTAGGGTACCCCACATCAGAAAGACCTAGGCTAAGTAGAGACCTTGGGGGGGCCATGCTCTATGCCACAGTCAGACTGCTCATTAGAAATGCCATCACCTACTGTCAGAACAGTCATGGGCCCCATTGGGTCTCACTACTTGTGTAGCTGTAGTTCTGTGCACCTGCAACTAGTGTAAAGAAAAGGTTTGTGGGTGCAAATGATGGGATCACAGAAGCCAGACTCATCTGGATTTGTTACTTGAGAAAAACTGGAAGCAAAGTCATTTAAGGAACTGAGCCCCTTTCAGGAAAGCCAGGGAGGCCAGAGGGGGTCGTGATCCCCTCTTCCGTGTGGACAGTGCAGTGTCTTGAAGACAGGTGCAGGAGGGCTTCTTTTCAAACATGCTTTAGGATACTGAGCAAAACCCAGGGTCCATTCTCAAACCCACCAACCACGTCATGCGAGATCTAACCTGTGGCTTTCCTCTGGTGTCTACTCACCATGGGATCAGTGGCGTTACTGCCCACGTGCAGAGAACGATTTGTCAGGTCAAATCCTCCAAAACTGCAGGTTCTCTGTGAAAAGGAGGGGGCAGGGCAGAATAAACCAGTTATGCTAAGTCAGCTGAGCACAAGCCCACACACGTGCCTTCTGTGGGACATCTCTGAATCACAAATACGGTACAGGATGAAAAGAGGAAACAAGAAATGATGAGGAGAAAAACAAAACAAAACACATGATTCATGTCATAAGAGAACTCCACTTACTTTGCCTTTCACACACCCTTGGCCCCCTGCCTGCACCCAAAGTCTACATCCCCGAAACATGCAAAAGATAACTGGATTTTTTTTTTTTTTAACAAAAAACTTGCCATAAATTTAGTGCTGTTAGGATTCCCTGATCTCAACACAGAACTTCCCCTTCCAATTCCCTTAACATCAGCTATGAACATCAGTGACAATAAAGGCATATCACTTAGTGGTCCAGAAAACAGGTCTGAAGTCCTTTGCTGCACTATTGGGAGCAGGCTTTCCTAAAAGGCTTATTTTAAGTTTAAAGGCTGAAAAGGAGAAGGGGGTTATGGTAGTCCAAACAGGCCAAAATTACTCATCAAGGCTTCCCTATCCTAGCCAAAAACGCTGTTAACTTTCCCATCTAACTGCCCAGCTTAATTAATTCTAGCTCCTTTCTCACAGTGGATGAAGCAGAGAGAGAAAGCTCGCTCGGTGACTGTCTTGGACCACACTCTTTAATTTCAACAGGAAAAATGTTGATTTTATAAAAAAGGGTGAAAACTTTCATCCTTTTTTGTTAGTTTCAAACTTCTTGGAACTGGCTTATATTTCAGTGACTTAGTATTTCCAGAAATTAGGTCAGATTTCCGTTGTTTTTTTCTAGCAAAAGCCACTCAATAACCACTCCTGCTGCCCCCATCCCCAAACACACTATTTTTTGTTGTGACTAATGATTTTTTTTTAAAGCAGTGAACCATAAAAACTGAATAGTGGATTTGGGCTCCAATATTTTGTATTACCTGTTTCTTAGAAAACTCTAGTTAACAGCTATTAAATGGAAGAAATGAACAGGAAAGTACAATGCATCTTACAAACATTGCCTATTTAATATAAATATATTTTAGTCATGTAAAATTTACCACACTGAGAAAACAGAAGCATCCTGGGAAGGAAAATGACTTGGTTTTTGAAATTTCACAGAGGAAGACCCAAGTTCTGGTCTGGTCACTTATTGTTGTGTGTCCACAGGTCAACTACTAGAACTCTCCAAGTTTTGAATTCTGCATTCAGTGAAAAATATTTACATCACATGTTTGAAGATCCCTAGCACACTGCCTGGCATGAAGCAGACCCTCTATGAATGCTGGTGTCCCCGGTTACTTCATTATGGCCATGCTGAGCACTTGGTAGCCTTTCCTGACTACTGTGATGCTGAAGTTCAGGCTTTGTCAATATCATATCATAAATCATACAAAAATCATAAATCATAGCAATATCATAAATATGCAAATAAAGGGCTGGAGCTCCATTCAGGGCCTTATAATCTGAGAGCTCAATTGTAACACCAGAGCATGCCAGGAACAGGTCACAACAAGAGAGGTAGCTGTTGTGGCATAAGGCAGGGTAGAAAGAGCAAGGCATTTGGGGATAACTAACATTTAGAATGCCACAGAACAGTTTTTCTTCAGCAGAATCATTGCTGATAAAAAAAAAAAAAATCTACTACCAACTTGCTTTCCAGTGATGTAAATTTAATTTTGTTAAATATTAGTCAACCTGACTTCCTTTTCACTCAACTAGACTTCTGTCTAGTTCAAAAAAATGAGAGAGAACTCTCTGTGCAAAGACAGCCACCAAATAACCCAACTGGGAAGTAGCACGATGATCACTTCTCAAAGCAAATTTTTTAACATTAACTTTCCGTTCTGGTTTATAATGCCACATCAGTTTTCTCTTTTTTGCAAAGGCAGCGACTTTACTCAGTTCCTTTCCTGTGACTCAGGGTTTCACAGACACAGTATGGCGCCCAGATGCCTGATTACTTTATGGCTTTTGCACGTCCCTGCTCTAAATGACATCTACTGCAACCCTTGAGCCCAGCATGTTATTTCTGATGCATATGAAATAACTGACAAAGAATTCATGTGGAAATGATGACTGCAGTAAATTAGAAGCTCATTTAGATTTTCTATACACCAGTTGTATGCATTTATGCCTAAAATAAAAAGCTGAAAGAATGGGCTGGTTTGCTTCACCACCAACTAAAATTCCTCCCAGTGATACGCTGAGATCTCTGAAACACTGCTGCTCTTATCAATGGAGAACTGACAAAAATATAACAATAAACATTGCTTGAATGAATCTCCAACTTCTTCTAATAAGATCAAGTAGTCCTCGAAGCAGCCCCCTTCAAAAGAGAAAATGAATTGTAAAGAGAATACAAGAAGAAAAATAAAACCATCTTTGACTTTGGCCATCTAAATAAATTTAAGTGATTTTATTTGGCTTATAATCTCTAGTATAGATAATTATAAAACATTTTAGATAGATGCTTGGGATGAGGAGAGCTAGTCAATGGGATGGTCATGCAGTTGAAAACATGTTTTGGAGGCTGAATTTAAAATGGATAAAATTCCAAAATGTCATGCATGTCTGTTCTTCCAAACAAAAACTGAATGACCAAATAAAAAGGAAGACATGTGACCATTTCCAGTGAATACAAAGCATTACCATTTCCCTGAGGTTTCATCAAGCATATATGGCATTTTTGAAAGGCAAAAAAAGATCAAGGCTAAAGATTAAAGGAAACTGTGCACTCTGGGAAAAATGAAGGAAGTATATGGCAAGGAGAATGGAAAAGAACATTTCAAATGAAAGAAGCAAAGAAATAAGAATGATCCTTTACAAAAACAAAGCCCCAAGGCTGGGGGTATAGCCCAACGACAGAGCGCCTGCCTAGCATGCACAAGGCTCTGGGTTCCATCTCCTTCAGGAAAAAGAAAAAAAGCACCTTCTATTGTGAAAACACATATTCTCTCTTACATTCTCTGCATTAAAATGATCCAGTACTGCCTCAAGTTCATAGCATTTTAAAAATACCCAGCTCAGACTGATAATTGGGACAAAGATTACACAGCACCATCTTGGTGGGGGATGCTCAGAGACAAGCTAGCCCCGATGTTCATCCTCAAAGTCAGTGAAATTGATCGTTGGCCCACAATATTAATTAACACAAATCTCAGAAATATAATTTCTTGAGAGACAGACCTGATCAAGTTCTATTATTAATCTGGCAATAAATGAGAGGCTCATGAGCAACTCAAGCTGCTCAAACTGGATAAATTCTCAGTACTATATACTTGAAACTCACAAGAGATGAGTCATCAATTAATAAGTGGCTTTGTTCCTTTGAGGTTTTATATAAGTATATAGAGAGTAATCACACACACACACACACACACACACACACACACACAAAAGTATTTTATAAAAGATCTGTGGGTCAGAGTAGACCAGAGGCTGAATGAGTGACAAAAGACAATTCTGTTATTTCAAAACAAAACCAACAAAAACTGTTGCCATGATGGAGAAAGAGCCAGAAGAAAAGCTTTTGCTACAGGACTAATAGTATTAAAAGTGTTGCAAGAAGCATACAAATGTGAAAAGATAGAAAATAAGATCTAGGAAGAAAGTCAATGCATGTGAGAAGAGTTGGAAAACCCAAGGGTGAGGAAGGATCCAAGATCCTTTCAGAACAGAGAAGGTCATTTTAAGGATGGCATTGACCAATCAGTCTTCATTTTCACAAAAGCAGAACTTGACTGAATGAATTTAAATTACAGTAATCGTCTGGGGAAGAACGTCCTATTCATGAATGTGAGGGAACCCTGGGAAAAGCCACCATCGAAGCATATCCTGCTGTAAAGGTTCTTTCAGACCTTTCAAAGGGGCCCAGAGCCAACAGCCCGGGTGGATTAAACAAGGTGCCAGAGGACAGCAGTGCCAGTTCCTCCTCCCTCCGTGCCATTTCACATGAGCCATTGTGCAAGCTCAAAGTGAGGTGGTAATTCCAGGGGAAAAAATATCTATATTCTGAAGTTCAAAGTCATTCATGCCCAGAAAATAAATTGTACTAGGTCTCTCTGACCTTTCAGTATTAAACTTGAAAACCCATTTTATTATTTGGACTTGATTCCTCATTATGTACGGAAGAGTCTATGTGGCATTAGAAGGCTTTACCAAACATCAGTTCTTCTGTTTAACAAGATAAGAATGCTAAATAGACTTGAGTAAAGCAAAAGTGCTCAAATTCACTTTTTCCCCTGTTGGATTTCAGAACTCACCACCCGCACCTACAAATAAGAGAGATGGGCTTCATAAAGATTTCCAATCACCAATGGGTGGGCTGTGTTGATGGCAAAATTTCCAAGAGCCCGTGCCTATTGTTTTCATGAACTGAAAGAGTCAGCCTGCCTTTCGAGGGCCAACTGTCCTTGTGTTTTGAATCAGTTTCTTTGAGGTCAAGTGACATGATGGCTGGGGATCGGGAAGGCCACTCCTACAAGGCAGCCCGGCCCCACCCCTGTACCCTGGATGCCCTTCTGGGCATCAGCCTCAGGATTGCATTTTAATTAAACATCCAACAGCCTCCCTTGGGCCACAGGAGAAATGGAAAGGGAGAAGAAAGCCACCAGGGACTGAGAGCAACTTAGGAACTGGAGGTGATGGAGTGATGGACCCTGAAGGAATGAGGGGAAGAGAAGGGGAAGAAGCCAGTCTCCAGAAAAAGAAAGGCCATACTGCCTGACTGCACCTCACGGAAATGACAAGGCTGTCCTCACGACCGTCGTGGAGACTCACAGACTTCTGGTGGATTCTCAAGAGAACCCTTTTAGTACAGCGGTCCACTGTGGCAGCCCACTTGCGCTTCGCCTCCTCATCCTCCTCCAGCAAGCACCGCCTCAGGTCCTGCTTCTCGGCCTTGCTCAGGGTCCTGTCTGAGGCGGGCCGCACTAGCTGGGTCAGGTTCAGATGGCTGTACAGACTCCGCTCCACCACGTAGGTGACATTGAACTCGCTGACCGAGGCGCGCCCGCGCACCCTTCTGCCCGGGAAGCCGCAGCTGCCGCCCCCTTTGGGCTTCGGCCGGGGCAGCTGCAGGTCGCAGGTGGTGCCGTTCACGCCTTTTCGGGAGGGACGCTGGCAGAGAAAAGCTCTGGAACAGGAATAATTAGTATCCGTTTTCTTCAAGCGGATTTGCTTGCGGACACTCTGAACCTCCTCTAGGGACACCAGAAAGTGGTGCCGGCGGCGGTGGCTGTCATAGAAGAAAACACCGTCCGTACTTACCCCGTGGCTCAGGGACCCCAGGCCCTTCTTCATCTCCCCCTCGGTGAGAGAGCGCGACACTTTCTGGGCTTTTTCTTCTTCGGGATAGGAGAAGAATGTCCCCATCTTCTTGGGGGGCTTAATCAGGCCCCGACTCTCTCCTTTGCTGAAGGTTTTGACCAGCTTCCGGCCAGCTCCCCAGGTGTCCAGGCTGCTGGACGATGGGGACGTGGTGATAGAGTCTGAGTCATCTTCAGGAGGCTTCTCAGGAGAGCCATCGAAGAAAAAAGGCTTCTTGTGCACTCCAGAGTACAGGGCGGATCTTTCATCCAGGACCGGGGAGCTCTCCAGCGCATGCTCCTCCCCACCTGGAGGGAAACCAACACAGCCCCTGAGACCAAGCCTCTGCTTTCCCCCACGAGCTTTCCTTCACCTCCCTCCCTCCCTCCCACAAGCTAGGTCCACAGTGGTCCACAGTGATCACAGCTCTCCCCGCCCATACCATGACTCTTCATAAACACCCCCCACCACACACATTTTAAATATGCATATAACAAAGAAAAATGATCACACCGTGCAAACGTGTGGTCTCATACAAGCTTACTGTTAAAGGTGGGGATGTGTTTGCTTCTCCTTCTCTAAGAAATTCTGTAGACCAAACATCTGCACAGATCTACTAAAAATGCCGTTTGCAAAATCCAAGCCAATCATTTTCATGACACACTTTCCCATTTCTAGACAATCACCTCCCCAGTTTAAGGGCAACCCTCAGAAGGTGGGAATCAGTCTTTCCCCTTTCTGAAAGGCCCTCCTTTAGGTTGGTTCTGATGGCTTTTTATAGTTGTAGCCTGATGAATGCCATGTGGCTGACAGTGATTTTTTTTTTTCTTTTATTGGTACATATGCCATTTAAGTGATTAAATCTCCAAGAACTTTGGGGTGGGGAAACACCATCAAGGGTTATATCTTGCAAATGTGGTTGAAAAATGGTCTTCAGCTGACTAGCTGAACACAAAAAGTTAGGGAACTGGGTGATCCCAGCCAGATATTCCCATCCACTCAGACCCTGCTGAAGCAGGGCATTTAAGGGCCCTGACACGCAGGCAGCTCTAGCGAGTGTTCCACTTTGTCTAAAGGATTCCAGCCCATGAAGCCCCCGCTGGAGCCAGGTAGCAAGCCAAGCCCTCTGGAGCCCAGTGGAAAGGCTTGGACTTGCTGGCAGGAAAGCCGAGTTCTTTTCTGCATGTGTTATGTGAACAGATGTGAGGAAAGAAGTAGGTCAAGCTGTGGGTGTAGCGATCCCAACTGGCTGTGTCCCTCGAATTATAAGGAAATGCTGGAGCTTTGCAGCTTTCTGCCAGCTGAATAGTGAACAGGAAAAAATACAAAGTTCCTTGGAACAGAAGGACAGCATTAAATATGCCAGCTGGGATGAGGGTGCTAGTGCCTGGTTAAATGTCAAGAGAAAAAGGGACAGGAATGCTCCCTTAGAGAGAGGGAGAGAGAGAGGGAGAGGGAGAGGGAGAGGGAGAGGGAGAGGGAGAGAGGGAGAGAGGTGTGTGTGTGTGTGTGTGTGTGAGATCCGAATGGTACCAGTCCTTTCAAATTCTAAAAACTGCTACTTTTCCCAATTGATGGTAATTATTGCTACAAACATACAAGGAAGGAAAAAAAAAACTGCTATTAAATTTTATCCAAAATGGACTTTGTGTTCACATCCAGGAGATGGTAGTAGAGAAGGGAGGGAAGCAGGGAAGGAGACTCAACTATGTCTAGCACAAAGTTCACTGAAGAATTGTTCAGGGATCTTTTAGGGAAACTTAAAGAAACATCTGAGCCAGGACTGCAGGCACAGCCTGGTGACAGAGACAGCGCAACAGAGAACTGTTTTAAAGAACCCAAACCTGGGTGTAGTTTTGGTAAAGCCCAGGTGCCTCAGGATATGCAGAAGCTCTCAGCAACCTACAGGAGATTGGGGGAGACCAGGTTGGTCTAACCTGGATTTTTGAAGGACCTGTCACTCAGCAGTGGTCTGAATATTTTCTGGACTGGGTTTAAGGTTGTCATCAGAGATTCCAATACTTGTGTGTCACAGTTGAGTCTGGTACCAGCTGGAGCACACATGACATGTGTGGCTCTATGTTTTGGGTTCTGGAAAGTTGGAGCCTGGTAAGAACTTGGGAGAAAATGTGGCAAATGCCTCTGAAGAGGCTGCGTCCTGTGCTTGCCCTGAGTGCAGGCCATGTGCAATGCAGACTCTGGGCAGCCTGAACTCCCAGCCTTGATTTGGACTCCTTGGAGTTAAAGCATTACTTCCTCTATCCTGCTCTGACTTAAAGGTACAAGTGTCTTCTTAGCAGAATGACACTCGAATATGGAAAGAGATTTTTTTTTTTTTTAGTTGTAGTTGGACACAAGACCTTTATTTTATTAATTTATTTTTATGTGGTGCTGAGGATCGAACCCAGTGCCTCGTATGTGCTAGGCGAGTGCGCTACCATGGAGCCACAACCCCAGCCCTCCCTGGAAAGGAGATTTTGACAGGAGGATATGGGGTAACTTAACACTAAGGACACAGCTTTGTGCTCTGGATTCTGGCTCCAGTTCTGCCACTCACCAGCTCCATGACCTTGGATGATTACTTTTGTGTAATAATGCCTACCTATCTTTACATAATATCCCCAACACGGATGTTGTGAGGATAACATTTAAAGAAAAGAGACACATGAAGCTACTTTTGAAGCTGGACAGGAGGAATGTCAGTTCTATGGACAAGACACAGAAGTGGGCAGATGACAGTAGCCACTGTGGCCTGTGTTAAATACTGTCCAAGGCCATGCATGCCAGGTTATGGATTCAACACTCAAGTTAGGCAGGGAAACTGAGTGAAGAGCTGTTAACTGTCTTGGCTTTCGAGTGGAGACACTGAGGAGTCAGGCTGCCTGGACTCAATTCTGGACCTTTTGCTGTCTGGCTGAGTGGGAGACCTCGAGTAAATTACTTAGCCTTTTTTGTGTCTCAGTTTCCTTACTTGTCAAATGAGGATGGCACACGTACCTGCCTTTGGTGGGTATTCTAAGGATGACATACTAAAAGACAACATAAAATGGAAAGTGCTGGGCACATAGAATGCTCTTGGTGAAGGACAATTATTATTCAGACAACTTAGTACTGGCACAGGCATGCAGGGAAACAGTGACAGGATCAGCTCTCTGAGTCCAAAGGTTTTGAAGAAGAGGAGTTATAAGGAACATGGGTCCTAAATTCTTTTGCCAAAGAGGAGCCTCAGAGAGTTCCATCATGCCAGTGCTAGAGGGAGTTCCAGAGCAGCAGGGGGTTGGGGGCAGCCCAAAGCAGACACCCTGAGTGCCACACACACCTGGGGCCTCTCCGGGTGATATGGACAAGCTGTGGGACTTACAACTTAAGCTCATCCAGTCTATCTTCCATCTGTGAAGCCTCATTCACACCCAGCGGTCCGTGCAGTGATTACTTTTTTACCCTCTAGTTACAAATCTTTGGATGTTATTTTCCTTTTTTTCAACGAGGCCGCTCAGAGATAGCTGAATTGATTTATTCTGGCATAAATATACAAATCAAGGCATCTCTGTATGTTTAAAATGGTACTCTAGTGTGAAGGCTGCCCCAAGACACTTGACTATTACACACGAAGGGCCTCTAGGGTGGTGGGCCCAGTGTTGGGTACTTCATCCATTTTATTTATGGATAAAGCCCCACCAATTTATGATAGCTGGAATTTGACTTTGGCAAGTGTGTATGAAGCTTGTTTTAAAATGTGCCCTCAGAATTACACTTGGAAACTCCATATGGTTATCCCAGCAGTACCAAGCAGTGCTTCTGTGTGGTTCCACGGGACCTACCATGGCCTGAGGAAATCAGGGTGTGTCCCACCCTATGGGAACCAGAGCTGACAGGCAGGATTGAAACATCCAAAAATCAACATTTTCCTCAAATGTAAACAGAATTACTGTGCAAAAAAGACATCCAGATGCAACCCTGGAATCAAAGACAACTCCAAGTTTATAAAACCAGCCATAAAGCTGATCTCTCTCTCACTGGTTCCCCTCTTCTCCTTCTAACCTCCATTCTTCCACAGGACCCCCCTCCTCCTCAGTACTATTTTAGATGATTTAAACCAACAAATAATAACAAACAAAATTAAAAAGCATCAGTAATAACAAACTCTTATCTTTGCAAATAAGGGGAAATACAGTTCCCTGCATGGCTTGATTTTATTTACATAGAACAAGAAGGCCTCTACAATCATACTTTTGAAACCTACATGTTAAAATTTTGAAATTCCTCATAATGTAGATGTGACATTTTAACAAGTGATGTGGGCTTTTTAGTTTGTTTGTTTGTTTACTATCATTTTCAAACAAGAAATTCTTTTATTTGTTCTTTTTGGGGAGAATGTTTACAAGATGCTGCAAATGCATATTACTAAAAAGGGAGATGAATAAGGCTGAGATTTAAACTGTCATAATTGCAATTCAAAGGTTAACTGTTCAGGACAGTAAAGCCCAGCTGGGCTCTCTCTTGACATTACTGCTTCATCTTAGCCGTCTGTAATACTGCTCTTAAAGATCCCCTCAGAACTGAAGGTCCTTAAAACCCTATTTCAATTGAGACTTGACATTGTTTACCAGAGTACAAATCACCCCTCAGAGATTCAAAGGGACATTAAGTGCCTTGATGGTTAGATGTTTGTTCAAGACAGATGTACTATCTATCAAATTTGGACTAAAATCAGTGAGCAAGAACTACAAACCTTTTTGGAAGTAGAGGCTTATGCTAAGAAGTTGCAAGGTTTATATAAAATGGTACAGACTCGTAATTAAAGCTATACCACACTTGAGAGAATTTCACTGTCACATAATGCCATTTCCCATGTTTGTCACATTTAAATTACTGAGCCCCTGAAATACTCAACCCAGGGCTCGGGGCTCCTCCCTTCCACAACAGGGAGAGCATCCCCCTGCTAATGAGCAGACTCGATTCCGTCAGCCTTGGGCCAGAGCTCAATCCATTTTCCACTTGAAATCATACTGTTTCTACTGAAAAACTGACCCCAAGTGACTTCTTTCGGAATAACCAGGGTGGAGTTGGCTTTTTTTACCTTCAGTGCTGGGCTTTTTCATATCTTCCACCCTAATTAGTTTCTTTCTGACTCTGCGAGTGGAGTTGACCAGCTTGTGTAACCTCTTAAACTTCACCGACTCCTCGGTCTCATCATCCGATTGTTCTCTTGACTGGCAAAGAAACAGAGGAAAAATTAATCAGATAATTGCTCCAGAGCCTTGCTCTTGCATCTGGGTATAGCTGGCCTTCCTATTAGCCGGCACCTGGGCAGTTCTGCGGCCAAACTTGGGGCACCAACAGATTTGTCCGATAGGTTTACACAGCAGCACGTACCATCTTAAGGTCTAATTTGGAGTAGAATTAAGTCCTGGGCATGAAGCATACACCCTTGCCCTTGAATGGCACACAGGACATTTATCTCATCAGACTAGTTCCCTGTCTCTAAAAGAGACAGGACCTCTCCGGCAGGACTCTCTCCGAGCTGGCCCTATAATTCCAGTTACACTGCTGCGGTTTGGGCCGGGCTCTCCTCTGTCTGGCCCATCAGGACTTGCTGTTGAACGTGGTCATCAACTACTTCTCCAAACCAAAATTCTGTTGACTTTTTCCAGTCCTCCCCCGAAAATCAAAAACAGCAGGCAGGAAAGGGGAAGCAGTGCAGAACCTCCTCCTGTCCGATTTGTCAGGACGGATGCCACATCACAGCCATTCCTTTCGCCTCCCGGCTCCTTCGGGGGGCTCACAAGTAGAGGATGAGGACAGCCTGCATTCCTCCAAGGGAGGCAAGGGAAAGAGCTGACCTTTTCCGCCATAGAGTCCAGTCCATATTCCCCAGCATCCCATCCCGCCTTGCAGAGATCCAAGTATGTTCTGGCCCAGCTGTTTTCCCTCAAGTATCAAACATTACAGAGAGAGAGAGACAGAGAGAGAGAGAGAGAGAGAGAATGAGAATTCTCTCCCTGCAGCAGTGACCCAGGCTAAAAACAATCCTTTCCTTGTGAACAAAATGAGGGTTTCATTTCCAAGTCCGCTCCAACATTCAATATGCAGCTTCCTCTGCTGTATCTATTCAAAATGAGGAAAAGCCAAAGAAGTTTCCCACTAACAGTGTGCTGCATGGCTCGGTGCTTGGGCTGTGCTGGGAGCTCAGCCTCAGCACACCCTGGAGACCAGCAAGCATCCAGCTAATCCTGCACATCCTGACAGCAGCCTTCCTTCCACGTCCTCAAACTCGGTTCACCAAATGGTCGAAATGACTCAAACCAAAAAACAAAACAAAAACAAACCACATATCTGAATGCAATGTGAATGAGGGGACTTTTAGCCTAAGAAAAGCTCTCATTAATCCCAATTTTATAGATGATGAGATAGGGAAGCAGGAGTTAGCAGAGGACAGCTAACTCTTGTTAGGGAAGATTCCATCAATGACTGAGGCATAACAACAGTGCAGGCTGTTAAGTGCACAAATATTTTCTTAGCACTCTGGCCCTCTCTATGGGATAAACACCACCACTTTCCTGGCCTTGGTCCGTCCCTGGAGCTCACAGCATAGCATCACGGTACTTTCTCCTTCCTCCTAACCACTAATGATTAATTATCATAAACCTATCAGCAAGTCTTCCCTTCTGTGAGGTTTATCAACATCTATGTCCAATTTCTTCCAAATTCCTAGATAAAACAGCATGTATAGGTTTCAAAATTAAAGTTCACTACTGGCTACCTGGCCCAGAAGAATGGAAACTGGATCCCCAGGTAACTGAGAAGGTTGGTTATTTTGGATGCTGACAATTAGGCTTGGTACATTAGGCTAAAACTTAAGAGGTAAAAAATTAAAATAATACATGTAACCAAATAACATATTTATACTGTCATATTTGAATTTCAGTTTTACTTGGTTGAAACATTGATATATGATGAAATGGTCAGAGTGGTCAACCAGAGGAATGAGAACCCGGTGAACCCTTGCTCTGGGTAATTGGCACCTGAAGAGCCCAGGGTACATGGAATTACGCAGAAACATGTGACAACATTGTGCCTGGTGATGCAGCTTGAATGCCAAGCAATTCCAGCAGAAGCAGCAACTGTGCATGCCAGAAAGTCTCTGCACATACCCACGAGAGAAGCCCAGGACATGCTGTTAACCCTCGCCTTAAAAATACTGGAATCAGTTGAAAATGAAATAAGCAGAGTGTGCTCGTGATCAAGATACAGGAAGCTGTATTACCTGCCCCAAATCTGTAACTAACACATAGGTTGCACCTGGCTGTTGGTTGTTTTAGTTGGTGGTTTGTATGAATGAATGGATGGGGCATATGAGGAAGTGAAAAAAATGGGATACAGAAATTAGTAATACAAAATCCATAGTCTGCAAAGACACAAATCATCTGCAGGGGAGACGCTTTAGACAGAACCTTCCAGGGAGAAATCTAAACAGTTCCACCAGGACAACAGACATCCAGGCAGTGCCCACCACAAAGCCCCGCTCTCCCCTGCCCAGATCCACTGTGGTGAGAAAGAACATAGTCCAGGTACTTAGTTAATTGCTTTCACATGCTTCATCCACTTTTTGAGAAATGTAAGCTCTTTAGAACATTGAAATGATGCTTTTCTATTTTTCTGAAGAAGAAGAACAAGGTGGTAATTTTGGAGGTGCTTGCCATTGAGAAATCACAAACCATGGCAACTATCAATTTCCTTTGCATTATCATGTTTTGGACTTGACAAGATTGATGCAGCAAAATTTATATGAAGAAGAATGTAAGATGAAACTCAAGTCATTCAAGATACATATAGTATGTTTTCTCTTTAAATAAGAAATTTCCTCTTAAGTCAGCCTGTAAGTTCAAGGATGCTTTTGATTGATGGAGACTCGCATCCTCCTGAATTCTCAGGAAAAATGTTGTGACATATTTTAACATAAAGATTTTGTAAAAAGCTGCATTTCTCCTAAACTGGGCAGTGAAGCATGAATGCTTCATGTAATATTTCAAATAACCATGTGCCACTTCTCAGCTGCTGAAAATAGCTATCATACATACATTTTTTTTTTTTTAAATTTAGGAAATATACTACCCAGGATAGGAGTTTCAGAATGTTTTAAATTAAGAAACACAAAATAAATATATATGTATATAAATTTTAAATTAAAATGTTATAAATAAATATTAAAAATTAATATTCCCACCTGAAGAAACTTTGTGAAAGATAAAGGAAATCTGCACGTATATAAGATAAATGATTCTAAGGAACAGGATAGGAACAACAGATTTTAAATAAACCAAAGTGAAAAAATATTCACACATATTCAACCATGAGTTGGTAGTATCTCCTTTCCCTGAGTCAGAGTTTACTAAAGTTTACTAAAAGAAATTTTAATTTTATCACCAATAAACAAGAGCGTGGACTCAGCCGTCTGTATACCTCCCCACCCCAAACCTTCAAGAGAAAAAGGCGTCTTATTCCTCCCAAAGGATGTGGGATAAAAGTGGCTTCACAGTATTGTAAATAGAAACATTTGATTTCTAGCCTCTCTACTGCAGATTTTTCCACCAGAAAGCCCATATGGCTCAACTTTTAATTACTTTGGCTAATGCTATATGTAGTAATTCTGTGGTGAATGCTTAAGTGTTTCATTTCTGGTTTCCATAGCAACATTACATCAGATTGCAGACAGCTGGCTCCACAGTTTTTAACCATAACAAATTGACCAAGCCAAGGCACAAAACTATAGCTGCTTTAAAGAGATAGTACACCATTTGGCTGCCAGGACTCTGAATGGGGAACCTTTGGGGCCATTTGGCTCGAGAAGGAGGGTGGAGCCTACTTCCTCCCCAGCTTCTTTTGGAACAAGTGCATCCTTGACACATCTGCGATGTTCTAATGGGAAAGCCATGGAGCCAGCGTGGAGAACTTTTATAACACAGCTACATGCAGGATGATCAGAAAAGGGAAACAAAATTAATCACATCTGTAACTAGGAAGATTTGTATCCTGGAGCACAGTGAAAGCATCCCCTTACTGCTGAGAGGAAGCCTGTCACTGCTGCTGAAACATACTTCACTGGACCCTATGACAAACGCTTCTCGAAACTATGATTGTGGAATAAATGCTTCCACAAAGCCACATGGCACAGGAGAAATCAATGTGCCGGAATAAAGGTTAAACCAGACTTGCTAGGAACTTTTTAGATCCTTCCAGGGACCACTTGAGACCATGCTGAGCACAGGATTATAAACCCTGCCCTTTCCAGACTCATTCGCTCAGCTTGCCTCTCCTGCTCCAAACCCGCAACACGCTGTCACAGTTAACACCCAGACTAAGTCAACTTATCTCCCCTAGTGCCTCATAACACTGTAAGATAAATAAGCATTTCTAAGAATAATTTTCAAATTGCAAATACACTTGCTTGTAAGACACAACGGTTTCTTTTTAAACTAGCATACATCAGACATAGACCCTTCATCTTCCTATGTGCATATTGTCTCGGCATTAAAGTGAAGAGAAGAAAACCCATCAGTTGTAAACTTATGAAAATAACAATGTACAGCGCTGTCTGAATTCAAGTCTGCCACACGAAAAGCCAGCACAGCTCACAAATGAGCTCCTATCCGTGCATGCTATTTCTCTCCCATTCTCAAAATAATATTTACTATTCTCCAAAAGCCATTCACGGCCATGGGGGGAAGACTGCAGGGCAAGAACGCTCCGGGTTACGGGCAGCAAAGTAAGCAGAGAAGGACAAATCGAGAGCGATTTAAGGAGAAAAGAAAGACACATCAAGGGAACAATCAAAAAGCTTTTTCTTGATGCAAAGAGAAAAAGTTTGCCTTTCTCATGAGAGGCATTCAGCAACTTACCGGCTTCGGCATTTAGCAGGCGTGTAAGGGGCAGTTTCGAAAAGGTCCAGCACCCCCGCCCCCTCCCCACTTGGAGACCTGCTCCCTCTAGATCCTTTAAGTCTGTAATCTCAAAGTCAGGATCGGGTGCTCCTCGAACATGTTCTCTGCAGTTACATGATCAGGCAGCCTCCACCGTCACAGCCCAACATCCGAAGAAGAAGAAAGTTAAGACACTGGATTCAATTAGCCTCTCTGCCTGCTGCCCGATTCCCCAGTCGCTTGCTAACTGCATAAGTTGTAAGAAAGGCATAAGTCATCAGCTCTAAGCAAAT